CATCATCATCATCATCATCATCATCATCATCATCATCATCATCATCATCATCATCATCATCATCATCATCATCATCATCATCATCATCATCGTTATCATCATCATCATCATCATCACCATCACCATCACCATCACTATCACCATCATCGTCATCATCATCATCAGCATCATCATCATCCGCCTCCTCATCCTCCTCCTCCCCCGCTTCCTCCTCCGCCTCCTCCTTTTCCTCATCCTCCTCCTGGTCCTCCTCCTCATCCTCCCTCTTCTCCGCCTATTGCTCCTGCGCCTGCTCCTCCGCCTCCTCCTCCTCCTCCTCGTCCTCCTCTGCCGCGTCTGGCCACCGTCTTCCACGCATCCGGCCCTCTTCTCGGGGCCAGCTCCAGGAGCTTCCGCGGGATCGAGATACATCGCTCCAGAGCGCTCCAAGGCGCTCTCCGAGCGCTGAAGAACGCTATGAGAAGACCGCGGCGCCCGGTACATCCTTCAGAGCCGCTGGATCTCAGAGAATCCCGATCTATCCCGATCCGGTGTTGTCCCAATCCTGGCTTCGTGCTTTAAAGCGGTGGACTCCCAGAGGTCTCGAGAGCTCGCGCGGCCCCCAAGAGCCACGGAGGAGGGAATTGGAGTGGCACGATGCTTTGGCAAGGTGGTTCCTCCTCCTCCTCCTCCTCCTCCTCCTCCTCCTCCTCCTCCTCCTCCTCCTCCTCCTCCTCCTCCTCTTCCGCCTCCTCCTCCACCTCCTCCTCCTCCTCCTCCTCCTCCTGTTGCTCCTCCTCCTCGGAGGAGGAGGAGGATGCGCGCGCGCAGCGTGGCTTGCGCAAGTGCTAGTCGGCGTAGAGTCCCGAACTCTTTGGCAAAACAGCAGCATGCTTGCTTCGCCGAGCGGCCCAGCCTGCACGGCGGGAAGTGGCTGCCCAACCGGCCCTGGCCCGGAAAGTGATTTTAGCTGGGACTCGGGGGGCCAGGCGAGCCCCTCTGCCAGCGGCGCAGGAGTGGGGGGGGCGAGGGGGGGAGGCGGAGGAAAGGGGAGGACGAGGAGGAGGAGGAGGAGGAGGAGAACAAGGAGGAGGAGGAGGAGGAGAAGAAGGAGGAGGATGAGGGTGAGGAGGAGGAGGAGGAGGAAGAGGAGGAGGAGGAGGAGGAAAGGGGGGTGGGAACAGCTGCCATCGGCCGAGGGGCTCAGCCGCGCAGCTCGTAACACTGCACGCCCCAGTCCCTGATGACAGAGTCGTGCTGCACCCCACTGCGCTGCCAGCAGTCGCGCGCTGCCAAGACTGGTCGAGCCTTCTTCGCGGTTCCCGCGCCGTTCAACACAGCACCCCAAGCCCTCTTCGTTTTCGAGTCGCGGTCGCGAGGGCGCACCCGGAAGCCCGGAGAGGGCCAGATGGCACTAAAACAAAAAGTCCTCGCCCCGCCCCCGCCT